TGTCTGTCTGTCTGTCTGTCTGTCTGTCTGTCTGTCTGTCTGTCTGTCTGTCTGTTTACCAGCTCGTCTCCCGTCAGAATCCGTGTTAATTGTGCTTGTTACCGTGTACAGTGATCCCTACACCCCCATCCTGCAATAGTTCTCATCTCCATCTCCTCTTTCCTGCGTGCCTTGTTTTCAGTCCACATTCCGTTACTTTTGTCTTTTTGGTGGTTTGTCGAGATTCTTTCTCTCTCTATGTCGTCATAATTATCCTTTTTTATTTAATATTCACAATGTTCTTATAATTTATACTTGAAATTGTATCATGATACATTGCATCAGATGTGTCAAAGATATGCAAATCTACCCGAGTGACTTAAAATTGTCTCGCCGGTTCAAGATTGTTAAAGTTACCTTGGTAACCTTTGAAGAAAATTAAAAGCTTCCTGAACAAACCATATCAACGAGTCTGCATTCAGCCTGTGGATTCTGAAAAAGAAATAACTTTAACATCAAACACTGGAACAATTTACATATTTTTACATATCGATGCAATGGAAGGTTTGAATGGATTACTCCATATAGGAGTGAGCGAAAGTTGCTTGCAGATGGAATGGTGAATATTGCTTGAATCAGAGTGTCTGGACGAATAGCTGTGGGAGCGAATGAGTGAACGAATGTTCAAGTGAAAGAATGAGGAATAAATGGATGAGTGAATGAATTTTACATTGCTCTAGCGACCAGCAGCATGCTTAGTGCCGAGCACGCTAGAGCATGTGTAAAATTCGACACAGTCTCGGTCTTTGGGAAATCTTATTAATGTGTTTGTAGCGTCTATGTAGCAGTGATGTGTCAAACAAAGGCGTGGACATATGTACCCAACTGATGTGTGTGTGTCTGAGTGTCCTTGTGACGTACTGTAATTAGTAATGGTGTCTTATTTGGTGATGTATAGCCGAGTCGTAATGATGGATATCCGATTTCGGGCGGTGTGCAGTGAGTTGTTTTGGCGTGTATCTGTGTCTTACTGATGGGAAACGTAACATTTAGTGGTGTGCACTTGTCTTCTGGGGGTGGGTTTCGTCTTCTCGGGGTACGGTTTGCGAAGGACGAGTATCTGTGTCATAGCAAGGAGTTCTGTAAACTGGTCATTAAGACATGATTCAGGATTGTGGAACTGTGTTCCTATGTTCAAGAAATGTCCAATAGTGACCTATAATCTGTGTTCCAAGGATCTATTTATCCATGTTCTAAGGGTATCTATAATTGATTGTTCATTCTAGAGTTTTCTACTTTTCTCTGTTAACCGCAAACAATGGCGGGTCATTACACCTCAAGCGCTGAGCCAGAGATGATATCTCCAGAAATCAGAGAGATTTTGTCTGTAAATTGCTACGTCCACGAGAGTCCAGAAACTGGAGTTGAGTTATCATTAAATTCCGTTAGCCATATTGAAGACCCTCGCCCCAGACTTTCTTTCAGTGTTCAGATTATACTTATTGTACTTGCACAAGTCAAGGCAAACCTCAAAGGTTTTTCCCCGAGAGTGATTCTCTGAAAGCTGAAAATACTGTTCTAGGATTCTATTTCATGTCGGATAGGAAGTTTTGGCCGAACTCTCCTGAAGCTATCAAAACTCAAAAGAAGTAAAAACTATTCTGTTTTTCAGTTGTAGCCTCCACCAGCGTTTTGGGTCCGTACTGCCTTAATCTAAACAGACAGTGTGTTTTGTGTCGTTTTTTTGTTTGTTTTGTTTTTGTTCAGTTACTTTTTGGGTTGTTTTATTTGTTTGTATTAGATAAGATATCCCATAGCCTGTCAGACTGTGCCTTTAGGAATAAGACTGCAGCGTACCCTCTCGCAAAACTAACACATGGCTCGAGATCCATTGTTTTTCCAGGGGGTACGCTCTTAGGTAATACCAGAAAGCAATACCAACTTTACTAATAATCCATTTCATCTCATTATCATTTATGGGAAAGAGAAATATACCGTGGTGGTGCGTATGTCGTAACTGTAGCTGCAGCAGCAGCAGCAGCAGCAGCAGCAGCAGCAGAAGCAGCAGTCGCAATAGCTAGAGCGAAAGCAACCCCACGGCAACATCTCTACTGCTCTCATCATCACTATCACCATCATCATAATCATCATCATCCTCATCTTCATCATCATCATCATCATCATCATCCGACCCATCTATCAACCTTCCAAACCGTCCATCCATCCATCCATCCATCCATCCATCCATCCATCCATCCATCCATCCATCCATCATCTACTAACCCTCGCCTCGCCCGGGAAAGTGCAATATCGGTAGCTACATGGAACGCAAGATCGTACAACCCGAGTTTTATAGTGTCTTTTCGAATATTCATATCTCTGAACTCAGCCAGCTCAGGTAGCAGTGCGGCCGGCGATCGGGAAGCAGATGGGGAGGGTAAGTACTGGAATCTTGTTGCTGTTGTTGTTGCTGTTGTAGTTGTTGTTGTTGTTGCTGTTGTTGTTGTCGTCGTTGTTGTTGTGATAAATTGTTGTGATTAATTGTTGTTATTGTTGTTATCCTGTGTACTCACTCCTGACTTTGAGCATTTTGAGCATTTGGGCAAGTTAATAACCCTCACCATGTGTATGCGTGTGCACGCACATGTACACACGCAACATGCGTGCATTTAAAACATACACATGCCCAAGCGAAGACACGCTCACGTGAAATAATGCCCATAAACACTAGCAGAGAATCATATAAAGCACACTTTTATTCACACATAGACACATGCACACACACACACACACACACACACACACACACACAATAAAAATCGAGATAGAATAATAG